TTGCTCTCGATAATGTTTCGAGCACATATCAATGTAGAGTACTGTAATTCGGTGAAGTCGATTAATTACGTCTGCAAATATGTGAACAGGGGAAGTGACATGGCAACCTTTGGCTTCGAGCATGCCACTGCCCCGTTTGATGAGATCGAGCGATATCAAACAGGCAGGTACATAAGCAGCAACGAGGCAGTTTGGAGTATCCTGGGTTTCAGGATACACGAACATTACCCACCTGTCACCCATCTACATGTCCACTTAGAGTATGGACAACGCGTCTACTTCACGGCTGATAATGCGCTGCAAAAAGCTGCGCAACCACCTCAAACATGACGGCATTCTTCCTTCTGTGCCAACATGATCCGTTCGCACGGACTTTGTTGTACTCAAAAGTTCCAAGATATTATACTTGGAACAAGTTAACAAAGAAGTGGGCCAGAAGAAAGCAAGGTGCCGAAATCCCCGGATATGACGTTAGAGCAGCGGATGTGTTAGCGCGTATAGAAACTGTACACCCCTAACCAAGGCGAATGCTTCTACCTCAGATTGTTGCTTCAGACAATCTGAGGACCGACGTCATTCGCAGCATTGAGGACCATGGATGGAGAGGTTTGTGAGATTTGCAGAGAAGCACGCCAAAGACTTGGCTTGCTTGAAGATGATCAGCAGTAGGAGAGAACTCTCGCAGAAGCATCTGCGACAAGTTTCTCTTTGGCATCATCTTGACAGCCTGTCAACCGTCAAATCCTCGAGCACTCTGGGAGAAGTACAAAGAGGCTCTGAGTGAAGACGTACTCAGAGAATGTCGCAGAGTGGCACCCTCTGCAGACGTCGGTTACTCTCACGATATATTCAAACGAGCGTTGATACTGCTTGAGGATACGTGCGCGTCGATGACCGGTCAAACCCTCAGAGAGCTCGGTTTGCCGTCACCAATAGGCGGGGATGACCAGGCATTCTAGAGCGATGTTCTCCGATAGAGATCCTATAATGTGGATCAGCTGACCACATTTGTAGAGTCCAACAAACCTCTCCTTACGGAGGACCAGGAGTTGGCTTACCGTACTGTTCTAAACACGATTTCCAGTGGCAGGGCTGGGCTACTCTTTCTCGACGCCCCAGTGGAATAGGGAAAACGTTTCTCATTAATTTCCTACTTGCAGAGATTCGCAGACAAGGAGGAATCGCACTAGCACTGACATCCTCAGGGATTGCATCAACACTGCTAGAAGGAGGCCGAACTGCTCATTCAGCCTTCAAGCTTCCTCTGAACATTGCTCATCAAGAGCACCCGGTATGTGGGATAATCAAAGGCACAGGGAAAGCCAAGGTACTACAAGAAACCATACTCATAGTTTGGGACGAATGCACCATGGCGCATAAGACGTCCCTGGAAGCCCTTGACAACACAGTACGGGACATAAGAGGAAGCAACAGGCTAATGGGTGGGGCCGTCGTGCTACTGGCAGGCGACTTTCGTCAATCTGCCAGGATTCCGCGGTCGACTTCAGCAGATGAGCTGGACGCTAGCCTTAAAGTTTCTCATTTCTGGAGACATGTTCGATCGCTGAACCTCACGACGAACATGCGGGTCCACCTCCTTGGCGATGACTGTCAGAAGCTTTGCGCAACAACTGTTGCTTCTTGGCGAAGGCAGAATTCCGGTTGAACCAAGTTCTGGCTGGATTACCTTTTCCCCAGACTTCTGCGATATGGTTCAATCGGTGGGAGAACTGTCGAAAAGATCTTCCCAAACATTGCCACCAACTTCAGCAATGGGGAGTGGATTTGCGAGCGAGCAATTCTGGCACCCGAAAATGAGCAAGTGAAGTCTCAATGCTCAGAATCTGAAAACAGCCTGCCTACCTGGACCGGTGTCAACGTACACAACCGTTGATACGATGGTTCAGAGTGAACAGGCTGTCAACTTCCACACTGAGTTCTTGAATTCACTCGAGCCCAATGGGATACCACCTCACAGACTTGATCTGAAGGTTGGTTTGCCAATCATGCTCCTACGTAACATCAACCCACCGAAGATGTGCAGTGGTACAAGGCTTTGCATCAGGGATCTCATGCCAAACGTCATAGTAGCGACCATACTGGTGGGGAAGTTTAAAGGTGAAGTCGTTTATATTCCACGAATCCCTTTAATCCCTCCGATATGCCCTTTGGCTTCAGGCGAGTGCAGTTTCCGGTCAGGCCTGCACTTGCTATAACGATCAACAAAGCGCAAGGACAGTCTCTGTGAACAGTAGGAGTAGACCTGAAAACTCCCTGTTTTTCGCATGGTCAGCTGTACGTGCATGTTTGAGGGTCGGGAGTCCAGCGAACCTGTATATGCGCCCGAAGGGAGCACAGCTAACGTAGTGTATCCCAGGGCGCTAACATAATTGCATGCTGTAGTATAGTACAGTATTTATTTGTTGCATGCCATTTTATTGGAAAATCCAAAAAAATTGGAAAATATAAAATCCAAAAAAATTGGAAATACAAAATTTAAAAAAAATGGCAAAACGAAAACCCAAAAAACTGGCGGCCAGCGGCGGTCAGGGCAGGTGGGTGGGACAAACAAGGAGTTAAACAGATCCAGAGCTTCCTTCCTTACTGATGAGTTCCGGGGAAAGCCTAGGACCAGTTTAGCCAAACCGTCTAAGGGTAGGAACGAAACGATACAATTAAAGAGCCGAAGTTGTATCCCTCTTCTTGAAGAATACAAGTTCGGTTTTTTTACCAAGTGTACGTGGTGCCGGGCAGAGCCGGGTATGCCAGCTAGTCTATAATAATTTTGAAAAGATGTCTTCATCAGCTTTCTAAATAGCCTAAATGGGTTGCGCTTTCTTTGCAATTATCATTTGCGGTGGAGACTGCATAGAATTTATATCTACCAAAATTCCTGTTCGAAGCATTCTTTGGTTTCCAAAAAATTATACCTCGTTAGAGTATATGAACTAAAGTTACATGTTCGAATGAAGACTACTTGTTGCAGCTTGAAAAGGCGATGACCTATATATCAATATCTTGCTCCTGTAATCCGCGTTCAAATGATATTTTCTCAGCTTTTAGCTGACGCAAGTGTAGAGTTGCCTCTTTTATCTTCTAACTGCTGAACGTCTAAGCACTTAGAAAAAGCTTGATCTTTTGTCTAATTATACCCATGTCGACCGAAACACAGATTCAAGTTCTTCGGTTTGAAAAATTTCTTGAGATGACCTCGTATGAAAATAAGAAAATACGCATCGCTGTGGATGCAAAAGCTTTGTAAAGGAGCATTCGGTTTTACGACGACATCGCGAAAAGAGTCTGACCTCAGAACGCCAAAACTCAAACACTATGTTTCGCACTAATGAGGATGCCGCAATCAACTCAAATGCAGATTACAAGAGCAGGATTGATTCGGAAGTGCTTCGGAGAATAAATAGATTCAAACAGCTTTATCAAGTCTCGTAACAATTCACTGGCAATCGGCTTATCGGCATTCTTAAGGTAGGCCTAGCAGCACTGTTTGGGCGAAATTGGCATGATTGAAAGTCAGGCTAAGTATTTTTCCACGAACGGCTAGCGAAAAGAATTAAATCTAGATTAACAAGATGTTTTACGGCAACAATGATATTAACGCCGCTGAAACTTTCATATTTTCACCTCTTGTTTCAGATCGAAAAATGTGGGTAAGCAGCAGGAATTTTTGTAGATTTTTGTCTACGGCAACTTGCCCAAACTCAGTGAAAACTGCGCTGAGTACTACCGTGAGCATAAATTCGAAAATATTAGCAAATTCCGACCACTTACAGCGCACTTACCGTACCCATGCGCGCATTGCGTAAAGCACATGTCTCGCCGAGATCATGACTTGGTTATCCTTTGACTCAGAGAATAACCAAATCATGTCTATCCTTCAAACTAGTTTCTCTTACAGTCAATATAATAATTGAAATTTTGTTCTCATGATTTGACATTTATGGACCTAAGCAATTTATCAAAGTTTCATTTTAGACTTTCAGAAGAGCTTTGATAATGGGTTGGACAATGTAAACAAATTGCATTTCAGTTAGTTACGTGGGCGTTTCTAGCTGACTTTTCATCATTTTCAGATTTAGTTTTCAAAAAATTCACTCTTGCGAAACAGGCATTTGGATTCGCAAGAGTGAACTTTCTGAGAATTAAATCTGAAAAGAGCAAGAGTGAACAGAAGAAGAAGTTCAAACACTCAAATTTTGTGAATTTGAAATTTCCAAAAATCTACTAAACGACTAGCGTCAATAAACAATCATCTTCTGCCCTGAAACTTTGAACCTCACATTTGTCGGGTATGTTTCACGGGCGAATTCATAACTTAGATGTATGGGAAGTTTTTCACAGGTTTTACACAAAAAAACACACTGAAAAAGACGACAAGGAACTGCTTCGAATGTCATCCAAGTTACAGTAGTAACTAAATGCCAAAAATGCATAACTTACCGTGATTACTCTGTCCACCCAAAAAGGTTTGAATAGCTTTTGAATATTTTTGATAGAATGATGAACTGGACAAGCAGTAAACTTTGGTTTCGAGATTTCGGCTATTATTTCAATGAACACATTAGAATCGTTGCGAAAAAAAGCGCTGGGAAGATGAAGAAAAGCTGCGTCACATTTTCTAAACTTTATTGCACCTGTTTTATGGTCGTGAAATAAACGAAAAGACTTTCGGACCATCTGGCTTTTTTGCGACGTATCCTTTTAGCATTTGCCCACGCCTAAAGTAAGTAGCACACACTGTCACAAAATCTGTACGTGTCAGGAATTAAAAAGCAGTAACGTTTCATCTTTCTACCACCATGCCTCTACTTTTCAAAACCGCACAAAGTGTCAAATACTCACGAAGTTATGGAGGATTCTGCCTAACATCTGTTTCAAAAACGGTCCAAATTTTCACTTTTTTTGCACCCTTTCGCTCAAGTGAGCTTTACCCTTTGCTAATTTCTCGCTGCAGAATTGAACCTATGTGAAAAATTGCATTTCAGTGGCGAAGTTTACGTCAACTCTACAAATGAGAATCCTTATCTCTTGACATTGACGGTATCGCCAGGAATCAAAAAGCTCTACGATGGACAACTGAAGCTTATTGAGAATAGCATAAAGTCGATTCCATTGCCTCCGGAGATCTACGGCAGAGACACTTACAAGTTTTTATTTGAAGTACTCGTTTTCAAATTGATGGGCTATATTGTGCTAGCAATTAATGGTTTTTGTTGCAGAAAAAAGTTGTCGAAATTTGGGTACGGGAGCTACATTTCAAAAGTCTTCAACTTCCTAACTCGAATGATATCTCGTTTATAGATAAGCAGGACGGTGTGCGTCTACAGGTAAGTGAGCAATGGGATGCTTTTGAAAATACGACTTCCTCGCTTTTTTAAGTGCTAAGGAGGTTTGTCGTCTTTTATGATTTGGCTCTCTTGAAGGCAGTATTCCGGCAAACTTTCATTTTTTGAAGCCGTCTTCGCTTTTTAGCGCAATAAAATGGCGAAAATGAGCTTTTTCTGGAGCTTTCCAGGTCCGCCTATATGTGTGCCATATCAAAAAGCGAATTTATAAGTAGAACCTCCCCGTATAAGGCACGTATGCACGTACATACCGCTGTGGAAGGGAGCGGAGCAGTGATGGCACGAGTCATAACTCGCTCCTCTAGAAATGCGTGTTCTCCTTTGTATATCTGCTTTATAAAGATCCTCGCACCCTGACGATTGAGCGTAATGGATGTCAGGACATTGCCATACAAGCTGAGATTTTCACTGTTCTGGGTGATCTCGTGGAAAATCTCTTAGGGACCTTGTTAGTCCTTATCTTTCTATGAATCCAGACGTTGTGAAGTTATACTGAGGATCTTTTATGGTGAAAATAGGTAAGTTTTCTACACGACAAGTGCAATGTAAATGCTGCGAGTCTTTGATAAACCCAGCTCGTGAACAGGAGTTCGGCCAAGATTTCGGATAACCTGAGATATAAATTATTTGTACTTCAATTGAATGTTGTGAATTTCACTGAAACTCGATTTATGGGAATTATCCGAGATGCTAAAAAAATCATACTCCAAGAAAGAATAAAAGTGAAATTAAGAAAAAGTAAATAACAGCCCTGCTGTAGAAATTTCATAGGGACAAATAGATTCTCCTTATCACGACTCCAAAAAATATCTAAATCCGACTTTAATCAAGTTTTTTGACATAATCCTTACGTCATACATACCGTAACCACCTAGAACCACAGAGCGGAAAAGGTATGATATTCGTAAGCATATTCAAAAACCCCATAAAATTTTGGGGCCAAGATACTGGAATAGCACCGATTTCTTTCAAACAGCGAATAAGAAGGCTCTCTTTGCCTTGACGAGTGTCTGTGAATCCATACTAAACAATTTGCAATAAAGTGTTGGTTTCAAACCGAATGTGAACCCTTGACCACCTGCTCCATAGCCTCCGCAGCAATCCACTCGGCTATCCGTTCACACCTGAACATTCCTTGGCGCCGCAAACTCACAATTGACCGTGGTTATCCTGGGAAAACCTTGCTCATAACTTCTTCCATAGGATCATTGAGCAGCTAGAGGACGCGGATTTGTATAAGGCTGTTAACTAAGTTTTGCAACTGAGTTCGTAACTTTTCACTTTTTGATATTGCCACGCTTAAATTTTGATATTGTATAAACTGCCATGGAGCTATAAACCGGCACAAACAACTCGCTTTTTGATGACAAGAAAAGAAAAAAATTCGAGAGTTTTTCGAAAACTGATAAATTTCGAGGATTCATGGAATTTTAGAGGAATGGCCGTTCTCAACTTATATCATGCACAACAATCCGAAGGTGCGCATAAATTGTTGCTAGAGGTTGACTCATCTAGCGCGGTAAGGAAGAAATGGAAATCGAAGACATCAAGATTTGGGCCCTCACAAACTTGAACGAGTCGCTATACGCAAAGCTGCTTGAGGACAAGCGTCAATCATTAGAGAGTAGAAGTCTCAGAATTCGCCAAAACTTTGCATGATGGGGGTTATTTGACCTGCCTAATACGAATATCATATTCATTCATCAAATTAACGCTTCTTTCCTTGTTTAGCGCCAGATCCAATACCGATCCAATACTGTAACCTTACAAAAAAGCCCCTAGTAAGCCAAATCAATATCGCTTTTGTGATCAGCATTCCAGACAACCCATCTATGCAAAGTCTTAGCCAAATTTGTAATAATCTGTAATCTTTTCTTTTATGACATATATCTAGCGTGATCCTCACTGTGACGTCAGAATTTTGCAGAAAGGTGGCTGCGCTTTATCTTACGTTACTGCCTACATGACTAAAACTACGAATGCGTCATATGCAAAGAGAGAGAAGTTATAGAAGTATTTGCAAAAGCTAGTTAACAGCCTAATATTAGTGCCTCAAGACAAGCAGAATGGTATGCATCACGCGTGGGAACTCCATTTCGACGGAGGATCCTTTCCTTGCCAATCTCTATCGAAAACTCCGCTGGCGTTGCGTACGGCGGTCTTTTTGGGTTTCTAAAACTCATGTGTAATCCAAGAACCATTTTGAAAAAAAAAACATTGCCGAAATTTTTACAAAAATCTACTGTAGCAAGAGCAACAGCAGCACATATGCATTGCCAATGACATTTTACTCAAATTTCAAAGCATAGAGTTTTTGATTCATTCGTAGTCTATCAGTCAGAATTTACTGTCGATTTAGGTAAGAAATCTACAGTACAGGCTCGGTGCTCAAGTTAAAGTGCATACATGGCCAATAACGGCAACGGAGAGATTAGAGTAATTTATTTTCTGTATCTTTTATTTCAAGTCAGATATCCTCGCGCAACAGTTGAATGAGTTACAAAAAAACTCTGTGAACGGTGCTCAAACAAAAAGTCATTGTGACATCAAAACAGGTGCTATACTTCGTTTTTTCTGCGTTTAAAAGGAGAAATTATTACTTGAATAGTGAAAAGTTGGGACTTTTCTTAGAAAGAATTAGTATTAACCAGTAAACTGTTGCGATTGACTGTTTAATGAGGTCCCATGTTCGGCTTTGAATGAATCTTGGCATGGTGATGAATCCTTATGTGCAGTTGCTAAGGCTGACCAAGGTTGTTGTAATATCACGGCTTACGTTTCGGCTGATTCGCCTTCGTCAAGGCCTAAAAAGTGAGCAGTAGATGAGATCTACCCTCCAGTTGTCTTATCGCCACAGGAAAAAGGGAAAGTTGTGAATGCTTATAAACACCTCACCTTAAACTTGCCGAGCGAGAACTGCAGACCACCACTGACATGCGTTGCGTGAATAATGAGCCCCCGGGTGAGAGGGTGTTGGTCAAAACCCGCATAACTCCAGGAACGGAGCGAGTTCGTTTGTTATGGCTATGCATCCCTCTTTCCTGTTCATTTTTGGATTCCTAGCGGATATCCAACAGGCTTTTAATGTTTTGCGCGCCGCTACTTCTGACTCTCGCGACAGAATTGATATAGAGAAATCGAATTCTGCGTTTTGATGGCTCTGCTTACAGTGCGTGCCCAGGGGCGTGAAAAGTCTCAGTCATAGGTGCGATAAGGTGAGAATGACCCCTCCGGGATGAAGGGGTCACAGCGGTCGCATCCCCTCTGGGTGAAGGGTGTTCCAATTGATCTCGAAATCATAAAATGTCGGCCGGAGGGGTCCCAATTTCTTCTTCATGCGAAAATTTGTTTGCTTAAATATAAGTTTTTACTTCTTTATCTACCAGGTTGGTTTGAAAGTTTAGTCCCACCAGTTTGAAAAAAATCGTAACCTTTCCCATCACAATATTTTTGCATGACTTTAATTTTATTAGAAATTATAAACCATCCACTTTCCAATGATACCTTGCCTACTCTGTAGTAAACTTTCAGTGCAGAGATAAAATCAAGAAAAGGAAATCACTTCAACTTCGGAATTTTGAAAGCCCTAAAAATTCCAGAACTGCGCCAAAAATCCAAAACAGCCAGTAATCTAGGTTTTTAATACTGAAGTAGGATTGGAACTATCCTGCCTGATTTGAAATTACCATAGACGATGTGCATGCGAGGTTATTTGTTTCGGAAAGAGTTAAACAATTTTTTAGTATTTACGAATTTTGTAAAAGAACAAATTCGTAATTTCTGTAGATGAACAGCAACGTCAGCAAGGGAAATATTTCTGAAACCATCTTGTCTACCGCTTTTAGAGAATATATGGTTTGCCTGGAATCTGATGAAAAAAGTGCCTGGTGAAGGGTGTGCCTAGTGATTCATGAATATTTACGAGTTTTTAGGGTAAAAAGATCCATAACTTCTACGCCGAGATGGTCACCATTGAAACCGCCTTGTCCTCCGCTTTCAGAAATTATAGAGCTTGCCTGGAGTCCATCAAAAAAGTGCCTGGGTGAAGGGTGTCCTTATGATTTTCGGAGATTTTCGAGTTTTTAACATAAAAAAATTCAAAACTTTTATAGATTAACTACCTGGCTTGCCCGGCTCCGCCCAGGCCTGTCAAAACACTAAGATAAAGCTCCCATCCCTAACCCTGTACAACCTTTCCCTGTGCCCACTCCTCCCTACCAACTCCAACTCCCTATTCCCGCCGTCTTAGTTATTAGCATGCTCACTTATCCGTGCCAGCCCGTGGCTCAAACTTTGCGAAGAAACCTTTGAAATCGATGGAAGTAGCGGATAATTCTAAAATTCAATATTGTATTCGTAATCAGCATGCTCGATTACCCCCTGTGCCAACTCCCAGCCCCGTAGATCAAATTTTGCAAAAAATCGATAAAATCGATATCGATCGATGACGAGGAGTAGCCTATGACACCCGCCCGGCCCCAAAGTGTATGTGTACCAAGTTTGTTCCGGATCGGTTCAGAAATGGAATATTATATTCGGAACATACGTACAGACAGACATACAGACAGGCAGACATACAAACAGACAATCAGCTTTATATATAAGATGGTCATTTAGGTGACGTCTAATAATGGCACGTCCAAATCATGTGGCATGACGACGAAATCCCCTTCTCCTCCCTTATCGCTAATAGGAATTTTGATGTTTTCAAGTGCACCATTGATTTTTGACCATCCTAGCAATTTTGCCTAGCTTCATAAGTATTCAAAGGATTAGGTGGTGAAAGTTGATTGTCATACTTAGAATATGCTGAAAGTTCAGGAACCACGAGAGCATCTGTCTTATTTCCCACAATTTCCACCTTTGGTTCAAAGTGTAATGATAAAGCGCACTTTTTCGCTCTGATTTTGTATTTTTGATCATAGGCAAGAGTATGCACGCAGTTTGTCTTGCGAAGGCAAGCCCTACTGCATACTTTTCTTTGAATTTTCAAAAATACAGTGTCCTTTAGTATCAGTCCTTCAAAAAATTTAGTCTAAGAAGGTCTACTTCCAGTAAATTCTAAGTATGACACTCAAGGCTTGAAAAATCTGGAAAGGATCGAAAAGAGATTACTCCACTTTACTGCAACTTTTTACGGTCGCAGCCATGGATAAGCGAACAAAAGTGTCTATGCAAGTCAACCTCTATGAACCAAGTCTAGGCGAAATCTCGACCTTAAAATTTCGGACGCGGATAATGTCCGCGTTTATTACAAAACGTAGGACATGACGTCGAAGTTGATCAACGTAAGGCAGGAGTACAAATGCGAAATAAACGCAACTTTTCTGTATGATTTACTCTAACCACGCAAAGAAAAAAATCATGCCCAGCGTGGTTCTTTTTACACATGTTGTAGTACACCATTTCCTTGGGCGTGATTTATCGTCGAAACGTGCTAAGAATCGCAGACAATCGCTGTTAATCTCAAAAAAGATTTTGGTGGTTCAAAAATATTGCTGCCAAAGTATAAAAGTTGATAAAGTACTCTGAAATGGTACAGTTGTCGTCGTGTTACTATTAGTGCTCCAGGGTTGAAAGATGAGAGAAGTGAGTTTTGGCCAGGACTCGGCACATGCGGCTCGCGGGCTAAAAAAGCGTCGTCAGCTGCGCTTCAATGCTGAAAAACAGTTGATGCAATAGAATTTTGCTTTGAGTGCGGTCATTTGAAATTCTGCAATTTTTAGATAAGGTTAGAAGTCTGCATCAGTAGTGTGAAAATTTTTTCTGCACACACTTCTGTTTCACCGTAGTAGGAAATGGTTGATTGTTGAGAATTGAAAATGGTTTTGCTTTTTTGCCTTCATTCCAGGCTTGCGCAAGTAACTTCGACTCAAAAAGCAACTCAAAAGTGATGGGGGAGGGCTTTAAAAATGCGAAATCAAAGTGAGACGTTTCACAAAATCTCTGACTGGCGGATGCGATCAGGCTCGTGCGGAGCCCACCTTGAAACAATATTGGATTGGCAGGGCTGGCTTACGGGGCAAGCTGGGTATCGTTCTTGAGGCAAAAAGCAAAGGGGATATCGTTTTCCAAGGCCCGGGGAAGCCCCTTAAAGAAGCATATATTAGCTTAGTGAGTGTATATGAAACAGCGTCAATTACCAAAGTTGTTATCTCGGGAGTGAAAATTTTCTCAGAACACTTAATCACACAATGCAATACAAATTGGATTTTTCCAGGAATTTACCGAGTGAAACAAATCCGAGGAGTTGGTTAAATTCATGCCCTCCAGCTCAGCAAACTTTTGCGGCCCTCCTCACGAAACGTATTCCATCGCTCTTGTCACATGAGTGATACTTAAAAATAATCCAAACATTCATCTCCTTCCCACAAAACTCTCCCTCCCACAATCATTCACCACTTTTAGTCCACTCCTCTTCTGCTGCAAACGTTGCAAGTTATTGCCGCTTTACCGCTCCCATACTCTGCAGAGTCAGTAATTTCCAGCTCTGATAGCTTACCTTGTGAAACACAAATTTGAAGATTTTCTCTGAAATCAATAAAAGACTTTTTGAATTGATTGTAGAGCCTTGCGCCAAAATTGCTAAATTCTTTATTCGGGCTTACATTTCGGCGTCGTCGCCTTCTTCAAAGCCTGGAAAGGTTAGAAACATCGATTTATCCGCTCAAACGCCTAATCAGCCACAGGAATATCACTCAACATTATGCTACTACTATGATACCAGAGGGTCAGAACCAAGCTAGCGCTCACAATAGCCTCGGCAGTGAACAGAACGACTACCACGGGCTAGATTATGCCCTCATTAGTGAATTAGCCTCTTTTATAGCATTTGAACTCGACCTCGCAGATCAAAACCTACAAAGGTTTTGATACAGAACTAACTCATTGGTCACGGCGATGCATTCCTCCTTGCGATTCATTTCAGGGTTCTTGGATGGTATTCAGAACGCCTCTAAGGTTTTTCGCGCTATCACCTCGGGTTCTCGCGATAGGATCGTGACAATTGTTTCAAAGGAGCAATTATCATGGCATTGAATGCGATGGGCGCCTAGCGGTGTAGAAGATTTTGTTTTTTCGAGGCCATCCAGGTCTCCTTGATCCTTACGCACAAAGGCCTGCCCGTTTGGCCTACGTACTGGTTCCCACATGATAAGCACGTGATCATGTAGACCACCCTGACTCCATGAAATCACCTGGTTTCCCGGTTGGACAGATCACACAACCTGGACTTGTGCATATGCGATCGTATGCGCGATCGCGTACTAATTGTTGCGTAAGGCTAGGGGGCGCTATGCCTATGACCCTAACGTAAGGTTCGAGGCCAGTATGCTGTAAACTTTTTTTGTAAGGCTTGCATAAAGGCAGCGTCCAGGCAAGTCTGGACACATGGGAATCTCACGTGGATAGTACTTTTGGGCCCCTAACTAAGCCAC